TTTTTTTATAAAATGGAGTACTAATCAGCCATAAAGAATGAGAAACTAGTCATTTACAGCTAGATGGATGCATATTGAGGCCATCCTCTTAAGTGAAATAAATAGGACACACATGCATAAATACCGAATAGTTTCTCTAGTGTGAGAAACTGAAAGTGTACATAAGGATGAAAATGATTAAAATGAATAATTGATAATTTGAAATAGGAAAAGGTCCAAAGGTGTAGGGGTGGTGGGAGGGGAAGGGGAAAAGGAATAAGGGAAAGGAGAGATGATGAGAAAGAAAAAAAAAAATGGAAACAAAGTCTATGTAAATAGGGAAGGGTGGAGGGGGTGAAGGCCACATAGGTAATGGGGGAAAAAATAAGAACTAAGATATATCATGTTCAGGTACAAACACCCAGTGATAAATGTAAATGTACTGTATACCTAAAATGTACCAATTAATATATAAATAAAAAAATAAATAACTTTCCCTAAATCTTTCAGTCTTCATTTCTGACAGTTTCCAGGCTATGTAAAACTTTGATTAAATAAATTTGTTATGCTTTTCTCTTGTTAACTGGTCTTTTGTTAAATGAATGTTGGTTGTGAACCTTATGATGTCCACCCTTACACTGGACAATGCTTTTCCACAATGCTACTGAAGGAAATATGCATATACTCACTAGATTTTTGTTTTTCCACACAAAAAGTTTTAGAATAAAACAACTTGAATGAGTTAATTACTATTTGGGTAGTGATAAAATGTGGAATATTAGATTACAATTGCTTTGTCACACAAACCACTTTCATTTTCAGATTTTTCTAAGGATGGATAATAAAAGGACCTTTAGCATATTGTTCAAATTTTCAAAAGTTGAAGTAGAGAAGGAAGAGTAAAGACAAAAAAATAGACACTAATGTATAGGACTGACTACATAGCTTAAATATCTCTTTTCTAAATGGAAAAAAATCCCATTACAACTGGAGTTTAGATAACAATTGGTATGTGATACTAAAATAGCCTCTTTAGTAGTTATGGTTTACTTTGGCAATATCTGTTCGTCTTTTTTTTAGAGAAAAATTTATACTGGTTAGGAAAAAAAATATTGAGGAAAGGCTTAATTTCTTTATATTGTTTAGGCTTTAGATACTTGACTTTATCTCTGAACATTATGACTTCACACACTGACATTAATTTATGTACAACAAAAAATGATTCTATGGTGTCTATGTGTATTTAATAATGCAACATATAAGGACATATCATGTAGTGTGCAACGGAAATTATTCAACCTCCCTCTTCACTTTTTCAGCTGTCCAAAGAGAACAAACCCCTAAACTAAATTAATATAATCAACTCACTATTTGCTATTATGCCTATTGATGTGCTTTTTGTTTAGTAGAACAGAAGAGAGAATATGGTTCTATTCTAGGTTCTTAATCTTCCTGATAAGGCAGCCACTTTGCTTTGTATAGGACTGTTGTGTTAGCTTCCAGAGGGACACCTGGCCATATAGAAGATGAGGTGATCCACTGTTCACAGAGAATGGAATGAGGTCAGAAAGGACTCTCTCCAAATATCCCTGGAATTCTTGAGGTAGAATTGGTATTCTGTGTACCTGAAAAACAGGTTTAGCTTCTTGGCCATATGACCAGTACAGTTACACACAACCTTGAGTTTGGAGGAGCCCTGCAGTTGGTTTAATGCTCTGTTGTCACTATCTTAAAATTCTTAATTTTTTAAACAAGATACTACAATTTCATTTTGCACTGGGCCCTGCAAATTATGTAGCTTGTCCTTCTATGGTACAGGATTTGGAAAGGGACAAAGAACAAGCTGCTTTTTTTGGTCTTTGCAAAGACATGATAACTGACGGCAACAGCTACACTGCAACAACTATTACTGCCAAGGATCACACATATGCAGCATCTACAGGAGATCAATAATCCCTTCAGGATCCAGACTTCCTTCTCATTTTTTAGGAAGACATGCTTCCTTACCCCATCCTGCTGCCTTTTTAGCTGCATGGATAGTTTCCTCGTTACTGACTATATGTGTGTCCATATAATGTATCTGAACCACTGAGATGTTAATATATATTTTTGCAGTTTCCAGTTTATTGCCTCAAAGACACATAGATTAAACTTTCTTTTTTCTCCTACGGACTAGATGGCAGATGTGCTGATGACTCAGCTTTGTCCATTCAAAGGAGGAAGATGTGCTATGCAAAGGCAACACAAGAAGTAAAGAGTTAGGTCCATGAAAGCTCTTCTGGTTGACAGGTCCTCTGTAGTAGCATCAACTACTTACCTTGGGTCAAGGACTTAAAATCTTTATTCTGGAGACCCTATGTTTTATCAACTTAGCCCCTTTCCTAACTGATCTATAGCACAACTTTTTGTGTGCTAATTCATAATGCTTTGTACATATCCAGAATAGTTGGATAATAAGGTATGTGGAGACTTCAAATACTCTACTTAGGGAGAATTATTAATTTAAAAGGATATAAAACTATTTTGAACCAAATTTTCTCCTCAGTGATTCTCAGAACACCTCTCGGTCTTGAGATCATCAAAATCATCATTATGAATACTAATTAGAGTACAGTCTATGTCTGTAGATTTTAGAGCTTGAGTAAATTTATAATAATCCCATGACAAGCTCCTAAAATTGCATTTTTCAAAATAAATTTGTGAAGTGTACTTTCACTATGACTTTTCTTCACTATGAAAGAAGACTATAGGATTTTTAAAATAATGTGAAATTTCTCATTGTTTGGAAACTGAATATGAGCACCATAAAGAATAATACAATGAATATAAGATAATTTTATTTCTTAAAAATTTTCAGTCACTAAAACTGTTAAGATCTAAAATATTACATTGATAATACAGTTGCAAATCCATTAAGGAATCATATGCTCAAGTCTAGATTTTATATTTACCTGCCCCAATGACTCTCTCAATGCGAATTCTGGAAGGATCAATCTCTCTTGCAAATTCGTGGACTGCTAGGGATGGATCTTCATAGGTATCTGGATCAATGTAAGTTTTAATTCCTGGGAAACGTACTGCAAAAAAAAAAAAGACTGATTTAGGTTAGAGTATTGTAGAATTCATACATTTTGTGACTATTTAAAGGAATAACATACATAAATAGTCAGTCTTGCTACATATTCAAACTTTTGTTTTCCTACTACCCTATCTTCACCCCTCCCCTCTTTAAAACTTTGACTATACATGGCCAAACATTTATTTACCTTAAAGTTAATTTAAAATGAGTATGTAGTTCATAGAGAGTGAGCAAACAGGTTCCAGAAAACACATTTTTTACTTCTCTAAAAAGTTTAATCAGCTTACTCATCCATTATAAGACTCATACACTTCACATCTGATTTAGCTCAGGAAATGTGGGAAATGAGGCACAAGCTTCACCCCAAAATTAGCTAGTCATTTATAGTACCTCCCACATCCTTCATATTCACAAGCACTAGGTTTTTCTGGTCTCATACTCTGGTACTGTAGTCTCCCCACTCCTTTTGAGAAACTCCCCAAGAGTAAAGAGCAGAATCTGTGATACAGATACGGGGAGGGGCACTACAGATAACAGCCCTTTTCTGTGCTCTCATAGTTGCTTCCAAGGCCAAACTTAAAAGTTGAGCCCATTTGTAACGCTAAGAAGGGTAAAAATCAAAGTCCCAAGTCTTGTCATTAGTTGTGTAGCTGCTGCTGCTTTTTCTAGTGGATGGAGTGCTCACAGTCTAAGGGGGAGCTGGGATGATGAGTTGGGATCCCTGAGAAATTGAAATGTAGGCTTCCTGTTCATTTGTATCTCAACTAGTTACGCTGCAAATATTCTTGTCTTGCTCCTCAATTCCTGTTTACCACTTTAGATTGCTAGTATGTGGAGGGCAGATCATTTCACTGTATTTTTGGATCCTTCTAAATATCTTAGACATGGCTTTATAGGTAATAAAAACACAACTCTTTACTGAATGTTAATTTGTATGGATTAAGTGACTAATGCTAAATTTATGGCCAAATGTATGATACTTGCTTCATAGAAATAGAAGGCCATACTAATTCAGAGTTAAGTGTTGTTTGGGTCTCCTTAGAAACATACTTTTGAAAGAAAATTTGAAAAACAAACCAACAGTAATATAGTAAATGTAGAGTAAGTGACGAAATGCCCATTATTGGCAGTAATTTGCTTCATTAATTCTTCTATGCTTATTGCCTTCATTTATTAAATTCTGTCTGCTGTCTTCTTAGCACTTGATATGCATCAAGAGAAAATTAGTATTTCTCAAAATAGCACCAGGAAAGCATATTTTTGGGTATTCTTATCCCTGGTATGGATTTTGATATGCTGTGCTTTTCTTCACTTTTCAAACTTTAGGTTGAAGGGAAGAGGAAAAGAGAACTGAGTATCTGCCCCTCTATTTCTTATGCCACTCTATAGGTTTTTGTTTTTTTTTAACTAAGAGTTGTGATTTCCGATTGAGTTTTATAAGCTCAAATCTAGTACCTACTAGTAGGTGACTAATTGTACCCAAACAGATACATGGACATGTTGAAAGATTAGGTACAGATAACAAGTGTCATTTCCCAATGCATGCATAGTTTTAAAAAATAATCTAGTTATCTAAGGTGACACATTGCTGTAGAATAAACTGTTTACTTAACATCACTTTATTTTTTGTAAATACATCTATGCATTATAGGGGAAAATGACCAAACTTAGTTTCAATTTTGAATGTCTAGTTGCTCATTTCACTTATCCTTGTCTTCTTAAACATCAGTTTGTCTTTCTTTTAGCTCTCTTGCTGCTTCAGGTGATTTTGATTACTTCTTGCTGAGCCCATCTGGTTTAGTTCATGCTGTACTGCTGCTTAGAAAACAGATAATAAATACCTCAGGAGCACCTTCTTCTTCTACATCTTAGTACTAAATGCCGAGCAGTGAATCTTAAACTTGCCCAGTATAAGTCATCTGTCCAGGTCTCTGGATCGAGGTTTCAGCAACTTGTTTACCGTGTTTCCAGTATATCCTATGCCAAGCATTGGTTGTTTCTGCTCTGCCAGTGTGGCGGGGCTCATATCTGCTTTACAAAAGAACAATCTGGGAGAGCTGTTGCAAATTAAGTGCTTTAACCCTCCCCTATGCCTTCTGAGTCAGAACCCTGGGGAATGGGTGGTGGAATATTATAATATAGATAATCACTGGACAACTCCTTAAACTTCATAGTCTTAGAAATAGCTCAAAATCATCCCACTGATTTGTAAGATCCGTACTTAAATTCTTTCCTTCCCTTGGAGGGTGATACATACAGATTGGAAAGTCCCTCATACCTTTTGCTTAATGTGAAATAAAAGATGAGTTTAAATTGTTAAGCAAGTTGTTTCATGTATCATTTCTGTACTATGTTTAATCAGCGAACAAACACTGCTTTCTGTTAATTCAATGACTCGCCAATAGAGAACCTGTCTTGGCAAAGCAGTTTGCAATTCAGAGGTGGAGGTGGAAGCGGAGGTGGGTGTTAGGGAGGAGAGGATGGCAATTATCAAACCAACTATAGTGGTAATTATAGCTTGCTTGGGAAGAGATCTTCAAATGAATATAACCTTGTAGTCAGAGCAAGGATTTCATACATATTCTAAGAGTTAAAGAGATGATACTCTTTTTTTAGTGTTAATGAATTGTAAATTGCTTTGTTATATGTTTCAAATGACAGTCCTTATAAGAAGAAATGAAGTTTCCTTAATATCTCTATATCTAATGCTCCACTAAATAAAACCAAGTCATGTTCTGGAGCCATTATGAATGACAAATAACTAGATATAATCAGTCAACATGTATTTTTAGCAAATTCAGTCTCTTGTATTTTCTAGCAAGCAGAATTGGAAAAAAGGTAATGAGAAGCAGGTGCAATTTCTACAAACAAACTTGGAAGCAGATGAAAGCTTTAACACTGAAAGGTTGGAAATACTTTTTTTTTCATTCTCAACTCAATAGATACAATTTGAAATAAACTCCTAAAGTGCTGAGGAATATAAAATAGTAATGGAAGGAAGTTACTGCATTACTTACAATGTCCATTCTGTAAGTGGTTTCTTCTCTTCTCTTCTGACTTCATTTTGGCCTTTATATACCACTGACACCTTTTATAGAAGTAAACAGAAACCTATTTTAATAATTATTCAAGATAAGAATGAAAAGCACTTAAAATTTATCATCTATGGGCAAAGTTTTTGTCATACAGACTAATATAAGACTATTTTACAATGTGAAAATACTCTACAGAAAATTTTTGATGCACATCAAAATTAGCCTCAGATAAGAATAAAATACTGTCAGATAGATTGATCCATAAGATAGAAATCTTACAAATTGTTCTATAATCAGCTGTAACCATCATTTCTTATCTTATATGACTTCTAATAACTAGAGTTGGTAAAAAGCACTAAAAGTCAAATAAAAAAGTAAGTTTATGTCAGAATCCCAGAAATTTAGAAAATTGTCTTTCATTTTCAGTGCTAAATGGCATAAGGTTTCTTTGTTAATGTTTGAAATTTGGTCAAGGCATATTTTATTCCCTTTCTGGATAACTGGGCTCCCATGATGTCTTCAGCATGAATAAATTCACTAATATTTACATGATTTGACAATCCATAAATTGCTAATTTCAACTGGATAAACAGAATATCTGCAGTACACAATGCAATCATTGAGAGTGAGTTTTGCTTCAACTTTTATGGCTATTTGAGTATTTATTCAGAAACGTCTTACAGTTTCCATAAAATAATTTCTGTAAATGCTCCTCTACCAAAGTGCATAAGAGATGCTTCAAAATGAATTTTTAAAATCTTGTGGAATTTAAGTAGTGCTCTCCAATATGTAGAATATTAAGGCAGTTACTGATATCATATAATTTGGTAAGTATAGAAATTTAAAACTGAAAATAATTTAGTACAAATTTTTCTTTATCATTAAATTTACTTTGTAAGTGGTACTCAGGTTTTACTCCAAGAATCCCAAGTAAAGATAAAATTTGAGCCCTTCTATCAAATTTATTAAGTCCAACTTATTTAGTCTTCAGAGACTGAAATGTTTTAAATTTGTCATCATCACATGTTATAACATTTCTTTCTCTTATCTTGATAAAATGCTTTTCTACTTATATGTGCTATTTAAATAATTGTTTACTAAAATATTGTATGAGAAAATAAGGCCTTAATTTCATGTTTGCAAATTAACATATATTACACCCAATTGTGGTATATATTGAATTACTATTAAATATTAAAAATCAACTTTCATAATGAGTGGATGGCATTTTTTTCTGTTGGTGATAAATATGACACTACTGTTAAAATACCCTAAATTTCTAATGAACTTTCAAACTGGAAAATAATCTTTTGAATAAAAATTAGCCACTATATTTAAATTATCACAGTTTAATTATACATGGTATAATTTCTGTCTTTGGAGTTAAGATCAAGAGGACCCCCTTATACTTTAATAGCTGGATAAGCTTCCTGGGCTCTAGAGAGGATTGTCTGTAAATTAGGTGCTATTTAATTATAGATGAAGTATTATCCAGTTAATAGTGCCTAAAAATTCACACACATGGGCAACATCCCATTGCTACTGCATAAAGTTTGTTAATGTGGTTTTTAAAACATGTAGCAATATACAAAATATATGTAACTTGACTCCCTCTCTCTCTCGTGCGCGCAATAGAGATTGAATCAAGGTCCTCACATTACATATACTAGGTAAGTGCTCTAACACTCAGGTACTATATCCCTAGAACATTTTAAAATTTTTATTTTAAGAGAATATCTTGCTAACTTACTCAGGCTGGCCTTGAACTTGTGATCCTCCTGCCTTAGTCTCCCAAATAAGTGGGATTATAAGTACAGTATACACCATCATATCAGGGTGCAAATTGACTTTTAAAAATCTAATGAAACTGTCATTGTGACTTTACATGCAAAAAACAAGCATGCTTTTATTTTGTTTTCCTTTTTCCAGGTGTGAGCCTTTTATCTCCCTGAAAAAATTTTTTTTTATTCCTCCCTTCCCCACACACCATTACTGTCTCCTGAGCCTTCTCCTTGCAAGAGAGTTCTAGATCAGATAGGAATTTTAACACTTTTATTAGAAAAAAAAAAAAAAACAACAACTTTCACCAAGATGCGTATTTTCTGTTTGATTGTTTGTTTTTATAACCAGTTGACTCCTGCTAGTGATTAGGGATTTTGCAGGCCATGTCTGGTATTTGTAGGCTATGGGAGCAAATATTGTGTCTTTACTCAATGGTTAATTGGTTCAGAGACTCCAAACTTTGTTTTCTATTTATTACAAAATATAGGCTGTATCAAAGCTGTAACAAAGAATTATTGGAGGTTAGCTCTAGAAATGAAAGAAGAGAATCATGGGAAATTTCTGGGCAACAGTATCTAAATGCAAAATGGTATGTCCAAAGTAGTATTTTTATTAAGATGAAATTATCATCATTTCTTGTCTTCTTTCATGTCTGTTTTTTTCTTATTACTACAGCTAGTATTCTATTATCTAAAAATCACTCTTTTAAAACAAGAGATCATTTCTATTAATTCTAAGAGCATTACTATGTCTGTTGTATAGCTAAACTTTTTAACATAGTGGCCAATATGTTCCCTTTATAATTCATTTCATTAAATAATCACAATTTTCAATATGACCACTTTAGAATATTTATTATTTCTGTGTTCCTTGATAAGTTCTGTAAAAGTAGGTTTCTTTCAAGGAAATCTTAACAGATGGCATTAGCATTTTGTCAGGGACTCATTCTTGATAAGTGCGGCCCAAGTACTTGTCAATGTATTGGTCTATAGTTTGTAATCTGGTGTCAAAATTGTAGATAACTTTTTATATATGCATATCATAGCTTAAAACTCCATGGACTTAGCAGTATTTTGTATACCACTAGAGAAGCCTGTTCTGCATTTCATTGGGATCTTAAAATGAATTTTAATAAATAGGTACCTAAACAGAATTCTAAAAGTAAATAAAATAATGGCTGTTTATAGTTCAATGAACTATTGCCCCGAATGTACCTCCTTATTGTTTCTGTTTGTTTACTAGATATCAGGGTTTTCTAGTAGGCTTTGTATACTTCAACCAAAATTAGGATGGATATATGTAATTTGATTAGTATTTTCACTGCAGTTTTAAATCATGATATTAGTATTTTGTAGTATATATATTTATGGATTATCTAGAAGTCTTAAAGTATGTTTTGTGATCCTATTGATATCTAAGAAAAATACATTTTCTCTTTGGAGGAATGACCTGAAGATACTTGTGGCTTCTCAAAAAAGTCTTGGCCAAATAGCAAGGGTAAAATAAGAAGTACTATGTACATTTTAAAACAATTTCTGAGACATTATCTTCATTCTTCTAAATTTTAGTCACAATCTGGCTCACAGTAATGATCTAATATATTTAAGAGCCAATAAAAGATTTTAATATATTATTACACCAAACCTATGTAAAAGAGAGAAATCTAAGGTTCAGATGAGTGAAGCACTTCCACTTGTCAGGATCCAAATCTTAATATTTTGCTCTGTTGGATTTGTCATTACTTTGAAATTTTATCCATATTACCCTATGGTGGTGAAATACCAGATTCATAAAACCAATTAACCAAATTCTAATGTAGAGAGTTTCAATATCTAATTGATAAAAACATCATTTTATATATATGACTAAGTTTTAAAAGATTTAATATAACTTGTTCTATTGTTTTTCTCTAAGAAAAGTCTTTTTCATTGTATAATCTGATTATAGTAAAGAAAAACTCAGAATTAACTTATTGATAACAAAATTTTGATTCATAGTTTTCAAACAACATTTGCCAAGTGTTTGGATGCTTCCATCTGCAGGGACTTGCTGATATCTATGACTAATGAAGGGGCTTAAATTCCAGTGTAAAGCTGATTATCCACCCTGAATCCACCAGCATCCCTCTCTGTCTCAGACATGCTTTGTTAAATTTAGAACATTTGAATATACAGTGTATAAAGAGTAGTTGTTCACAGATGTTGGAAAAATCTGGTATGTTTCAGTTACCTCCCAGTGATTAAGAAGAACAAAGTGAGGATGACGAGGAGAGTGAATCCCCCAACGGCTGCAGTGGCTATCACGAGAATCTGCCCTTGTTCTGCCGCCATGTCAGAAGCTGAAACACAGATGTCATATTAAAATTTCCCTGGTGACATTTCGCTACCCAAATTATGTTACAACATAGGGAAACCAAAAACCCAACACATTTGGCCTTTATTTCAGTACTTGGCACATAGGATGGTAACCCAAAATAAATATGCTTTGTGTAATAATTGTAATTATCCACAATATAAACCTTTCTTTCTTACAAAAGTATAATAAACAGAATCTTTATACCGTACATTTTAAGATTAAGCATGTGTTGCAAAATGAAATTAGCCGATAGACTAACGAACTACATAATCGCTCATTTTATTTCCTCTAAAACAACTTGGCTAATAAAAAAGGCTTTACAGTTTTGGGTCTGTTAAGAATGATTTTACATGGATTTCACTGAACTAAATTCAAACATTAAAGTTTCAAATTCTCACCTCCACAGCAGGATTAGATATTAGGCAGTAACTTGAAAAATGATATTTTAAAGCTTCATTTTATTAGAAAGAAAAAGCCAGATAACATGGAAACAACATATTACATTGTTCATTGACTGTCACATACATATTCCAGTTCTGGAGATCAAACCCAGGACACTGTACACGCTGTGCAAGAAAAATTTATCTTAGATCTTCCATGGCTATTTCACTAATCTTCCAAGAATTTAAAAAATATATGAATTCATTTAAGTTATTAGTATTTCTTGATTTCTGTATTGCTGAATCTTTAATGAGATTTTTTTTATTGGAGAGATGGAAAATTAACTCAGAATACAGATAAGGGAACAGAAGCACAGAGAAGCTGCAGAACTTGCTCTCATAGAGCTAGAACCAGAATTCAAGCCTTCAAAATTGTACTGTATTTCCCCTTTTTATACTGTAGTTCACAACAATAATTCTGTCAATATTCTATAATATTAAATCAGTAAGATCTTTTAGTAGCTCTTAAGTTGAATAAAGCCTATATTAAAGCTCTGATTGCTACAGAACAGTGATGGCGAACTTTTTAGAGCTTTCAGTGATATAAACAACCCACTGCAGCCATGTGTGCTCTAGGTTTGCCACCACTGCTATAGATAACGTCCATTGATCTCATCAATCATAGAGAGCAAACTGAATCAAAGAAAATAGTCTGCCCAAAAATGTATACATCAGGAAAAGAAAAACTTGTATAAATATTTTAATATTAAATTTATTATCATGAGATAAGTAGAAGTTAACTTTGACTTCTACAATTGCAAGAGGTACTCAAAGTGGTGACCATTAACTTCCAGACATTTATTATTACAGAAAACTGCTGAAGTGGGTATACATGTTTTTGCTGGACTCTGTATATAACTAAAAGCAAACTGTATAATTTTGTGCCATAAAATTTATTAAACTTGTGTATTTTAAGTCTACCCTTAAAATAGGGTTTTTTTCTTGGAATTAAGTATGTACTTTATTTAAGTATGTACTTTATTTAAGTACATATGTGGTACTTAATTATTAATTAAGGATGTAATACTATGTGTAAATATATATACAGAACAATAATATTCTCATGAAAATGACATATCCACTAGAAAATATATGAACCTTAAATGAATTGATTGTTGAGTCAGTAAGAAGCCAGTCACAGCAAAGAGACTTAAAAAAATCTTAATGTAAATGAAAACAAATCATTTTTCAGTAAGAGAAATGTATTAAACCTTGGAATTACATTTGAATCACTATGATTTAATCAAGATATTTTCAGACAATCTATTACAGTGTTGCGTTTTAGCTCAATCTGTGCAGAGACAAGTTAAATAGCTACATCTTATCCAATAAGTAATGTACTGATGCTTTTTTATTAGGTTATGACTGAATTTCCTAGTCTTCAAAATAACACTGACATCTTGGGAATTAATATTATGCTAAAAAATGTCACATTTTCTCATTGAAATTTATTAAATAACAAAGTTTAAGAAACTGATGCCATAGAAAACAACATTAAAATTTGAAGATAAGAAGATAACATTTTAAAAAGAAAACATTTACATAGCAACTGTTGTGTTTATAAAATATAGAATATAGTGCAAGAATTTTACACCTGGAACATGTATTTTCAGAGTAGTCAGGTAGCTAGTAATTTATTGAGACCATGTATTCAAAGTGCATATTGGAAATAACATTACGCAACTCAGTATCCTTTGAAAATCAGAATACACTGTTTTAGAAAATTCTGTTGCCTTCAAAAATTATTACACTATCACTTATACTAATATGTCTTTTTTCACACAAGTGTGATTAAATAAATATATATATATATTCCTTTCTTTAAAATTTTAATTGGCCAATAGAATATTACATTGTGACATTTTGAAAAGTATACATTTCTATATAATTGTCTCATATTTCTGTACTAAGGACACTAAATACTCCTCTGGGAGAATAAAACATACAAATAACTGGTCAATTGAAAATAAGAATGTTTAATGAGGCACATAAATGATCCCATGATGAGGCTGGAAGGATTTGAAAAATATCAACATCATCATCTTCATCAACAACTGCCATGATTTATTTAATAGTAAACTACATTCCTATAAGAATTAATAGAGCTTCAAATTCATTATCAGAAGGATCTGACATATAGGTGCTATCATTCCTAGTTGAAGTGTCTACATCACTTGCCTAGGGCCACACATATTGTACACAAAAAGCGGGCAATTCAGCTCTGATTTGCCTTTCTCCAAGGCCGTGCTATTGGCTGTGTTCGAGCCACCATTCAATCTACTTTTACACCCAGATCTTTTGCTGAAAAGAAGGAGGAGAAGGAGAAAGTGATGTTTTTTGCTACAGCTGCAACTACTTTGATTCATTTCAATAGACAGACGCACTTTTGCTATATATTGAATGGACTATCTACATGCCTCGAGTACTTGTCTGTAGCGCTATTTACTAATTTTTTCAATGCTGAAGAAAAAAAACTATTTCTAATTAGTTTTACAGGATAAAATGTCTCCATGTCTTAATCTTATAAACAATGCCAACAGAGAGAGTTTACTGGTTCTTAAAAAAAAAAAGCACAGCGAAGACTATGGTAAGAAGTGAAATATATTTATGACTAGCTGATTGGAAACGTCCCTCTGTTTACTAGAAGTTGTATTCTTTTTTAAAAAGATAAGCATATTAAAATGATCTATTTTATAGAAAAAGCATTTTCTTAAGAGGAAACAACTGTCCAAAAAAATTGCAACAAAATTGTTACTATGCAAGGATTTATCACCTCACCAATCTTGGCATAAGTCAGAATGACATTATTAAGTGAGATTTGCTTTAGTTGTTTCTATTGAGAGAAAAAAAAGTGAAGATCTTTACTTGAAATAAAAATACAAAAAATAGATATCATATCTTTAAGAAAGTGTGTAAAAAAAGCAATTTGGCTATTTTTAACCAGAGCTTTCTTCTGTGGAAGTATGTGATTTTGTCTCCCTATCTGTAATTAAGACTATTCTAGTGTATATTTATATTTCAAAGTATAATCTGTTATTTGTATTCTGTGTTACTTTCTATAAAATAGCTTTGTAAAGTTAACTCTTTTCTGTTATGAACAATTTTTTAAAGTTATTGCAGATAGCAGTTACCTGATTGTCTGAATAAAATATTTTTTAAAAATGCTATCCAGCGAAGTAAATTGTCTTCATCATTTTACCAAAATTATATATCTCAGCAAAGAAATGGATTATCAGTAGCTAGTGAACAAATCACTTTTAAAGTTTCTTGACAGGCAACAGAGGAAAATTGTCCTCTTGGGTCATATACTGAAAGACGCACGGCAAAGAAATCTTACGTGAAATCTTCTAAAACACACACACACACAACAACAACAACAATATACAATGTATACTATTTAATCTGAACAATCTCAATACCACGTGCTCAAGTAGAGAGCAAAAAGAGATACAAATAAAAGCTAAGGAGGTGTTTCTCCTAGAAGAAAATATTCTTCTAATTTTGAAGATGATATTATGTTGGCCGTATGGTCTTAAAAGCATGACATCATCTTTGATATGTCTACAACTGCAAGTTCCAAGTAAACTTTTCCATCATGCTTTATATCATCCAGTGGTCACCAGTATTAGCACAGTCTAATGTCAAGCTTCAGCCCCACGTCATTAGACAAGTTTTCTGATTTTCAGTTGAGTTGCCTTTCCACAGTGTCTCTTCCCAATCCTTCTCACATTAGGTGCTTCGATAATTATTTTTCCAAATAACATAAAATTATTCAGAATTTTTTCCATTGTCTAGAGAGTAAAATCATTTCTTCCTAGTGGGCATCCCATTTTCAGAGATATCTACACATGCAATTTTAGAGTCAGCCTTCACATAGTTCTTTCCTCTGCTTTCCCGGTGATCATTGATTCTGTCACTTCTACCTTCTAAGTATTCCTAAGATTCATCCCCATTCTTTCCAATTCTCATTGCTATTGTCATTCAGGTACACATCAAATATATGAAATATATATTGCTGTTGAACAATAGCAAGTAAGATAAAAAATAAGAAGAGATATTCTAAACAGACACCTAACTGGTGTTCACAAATTAAGAATGCACAGTTTACTCCATAATAGAGCTTTGATTTCCAACTCTTTTACTTCAGACATATTTATTGATTTCCAAGTTCATAAAACAGTGCAGTAGCAATAGATTAGAATTTAGGTTGTAGTGGAGGAGATATCTTCAGAAAAAGAGCTGATCAGAAGTGCACACTCCAAAGAAGACTGACAGAGGTGAGAGCCACTACTTTACACTCCCACTAACAAGTAGAAGAGTTCCACTCTCCCTGAAGCCTCACTAGCATTTGTTATACATTTTTTCATGTATTTATTGGTCATTTGTACTTTTTCTTCTGAGAAGTGTTACTCATTTTGGTTACCTATTTTTTGATTGGGTCTTTTATTTAGGGGAATCTAAATTTTTGAATTCTTTATATAGTAGTCCTCTGTCCAAGGAATAGTTGGCAAAATTTTTTCTCATTTTGTAGGTCGTTTTATCA